TGATTTGTGCCTTTTGCTAATACTTTAAAAAAAGATCATTTTGTTGAAATAACTTTTCGTGTTTCTTTTCTTTTGAAATATTTGTTGTTGTCGGATATTCAACACGCTATCGCGTACCGATTGCATAATGAGCGGGAAACGAAATCGGAGACCGGTTTGAAACGCCTGCGCTGCGCCGATAGATCCGATAACGGTATCAATGCTCTTGCTGTGTTGTTACGTGAACACTGACCGCAATCGTAACGTACCACGACGACCATCGAGCAACTGGCATTGTGCACATACCTTCTTCGCATACGTACATATATATATTACCTATGCATGTTGTATAAGTATCTATATGCAATTACATAAATCGCATGTCCAAGTTCGACGTACTTGAATCTAACGATAATGGAGAAAATATTCCTATAAATATTCTTTCGACCAACTTTAATGAAATAAGAAATAAGCATAGAATCTATTATACAATTATTACAAATTCAGTTGATAGTAAAAGAACGATTAGGTGGAAGAAAATGATTCATCGAAAAATACATACATATATTACATACATATATTACATACATATATTACATACATATATTCCATACATATATTACATACATATATTACATACTCATGCACGTGTACGTACACTCTGTTAGTATTTTAGGGTAATGGGACGCGTAACGGTCGCGTATCCGTAACGAGATGATAAGGAAAAAGGAGAGACGAACCCGGATAAACGCGGCCCGGATTCTAGTTTCTGCAAATGCGTACGAGAAAGAGCCAAGAGAGTTAAGGAGAAGAAGCGCGTGCAAAATTTCTCGATGTGTGTATCTAACGCGTACTTTTGAGGTTACATAATCCTATGTCACGCGGCATATAAGAAGATTGTAATGATTCGGAAAAAAAACGAATAATGTTATTATAAGAAGAGTAATATAAAATAAATACGAGCTAATTCAAAAATAATATTATCTCCCTTTTTTTTTATTCAAGCTGTAGAAAATGAAACCACATTGAGTTCGATACTGCATATACTTATTTGAAAAATGATTTTAGGAGATGTGGACCGTTGTCGCGATTTCGGTTAATTTGTAACACGTGACACGATTCACCTGTGTATGTGGCTAGCAACGAACACGTGAGACGAGATAACGTGAAAAGCGATGCGCGAAAGCGTTCACGCTCTTCGTTACATAAGACGCGCACGTGAGAAAGACTTCAGGGACAGCCAAGGTTCTCTTCGCATACACTCGTCAGAAAACACACGTACACACACAGCAGTAGCAGCAGCAGCAGCAACAGAAAGAAAGAAAGAACGAGAGAAACATTTGATGCACACATATGCATGCACAATAATACATATGTATAATAAATGATATAATACGTTAGAATATTATTGGATTTTTCATCATTTTCACTCGGAGGAATGAAAAAAAAAAAAAGAAAAAAAAAATAATTGAAAAAGATAACACGACAATCGCAACGCGACAATAACAACAAACAGCACTGTGATCTAACCATGATGCAAGTCTGGTGCAAGTAGCATACTACTTCGATCGCGCAATTCGTGTACTCTCCACTCTCCTTTTTTTGCATCTCTATGCGACTATGTATGCATGTGTGTAAGTGTTATGGCTGATGCGACTGCTACTCCACTCGCCACGTGACTCCGCTCGACACGTGCAAGCTGTTATGCTCGACCATTCACCTTCATTGCATAACACGACCAACATGAAAAGGTCATCGCGAACAACGGAGTGCCATGATATTTGCTAATACGATCAATAAAATGCGGCTACGCGATCGTCGTCTTTATTCTTCTATAATATATACACACAAAATTAATTTATTAACACCTTTCCCAAAATTTTCGGCTTAAATTATTATCATTAGTTTCCTATAATGCTTTGTGAAATGAACTATGCGATGATACGTGAACACATGAAGTTATTCTTTTATATTAGCTTTTAATTAACTAATGCCAATTTCTCAGTAATGATCAATCTGGGAAAAACGAAAGAAATGATTTGTAACTCGCGGGGAAAATAATTAAACGATACGAGGAAAATCGGCGTCTTTTTATTTTCATCATGTCCTTTGGGATTATAACAATTCTGATAGCGGAACAAGAAAAGATAAAAAGAGATTATGACGAGATATTGTATTCAATTGAATTTCTTATAACAAATATGAAAATAAGGCATGCGCGTTCAATCGAAATTAACCTACTTTCCCATTTATATTCAAAATTAGTCTTATAGAATTTCCTCCAGAAAAATGGCTGACATAAAAACATCAGAAAAAAATAATATAATTCCCATTGGTCCTCGTAAAGCGTGAACTATCGATCTCGATAATGGCCCACTCTCAAAGTTTGAGACCACGAAACGGGGTTACATAACGGGGATAATGAATCGAAAGGTGTAAAGGAGAACGCGCAGGTTAATCGAGCGTTGTCGAGCAGGCTGTTTATAGATTCAAGATAAAGATTTTTTTCAGCGCGCTTTGTTTTTTCTCTTTCCATGAAGTATGACATATATGTGTATTGTGTGATCGATGAACGGACCGATGATGACGCAACGTATAATCCGTGATATCTCATTGCCAGACTAAAAAGAATCTAGAAGATGGCAGGTAGGATATAGTTTGTTTCATATAACGGGTGACTACTAATTTAATTATTCAGTTTTTAATAATTTATTCAAATTTCAAAGATATTCGATAAGTCATTTTATTTTTATTCAAAATACCGAACGTGTTGATTAGGAGTTTTATACAAAAAATAAAATAATACAAATCTGAAAGCATAATGTCTTCTTAGAATAAGAAACAATTAAATGGCTTAGTTATTCCTTTATCACGTGATAAGTTACGAGCTATGCGTGACGAGTTAATTTCTTTTTTCCGATTAATAGATTAAACACTATTGACTGCTCGTATGTTTGTGCGTGCGTGTGTGTGATAGAGAGAGCAGAGAAAGTATTGATTTTTATCTAATGCAAGATCGTTAAATGTTTAAAATCACAAATAAATGTGTACGTTGTACGCATACGTTGTTCAAAGTAAGGGTTGATTTATAAGACCCATGTTAATTAGATATTTTTTACTCGTCTAAGTAGCTACTACAAGCCCTTGAAATATCTAACTTATTTTTTACCATCCTGCATATCGAATAATAGATAAGAAATCTGACAAGAAATCTAACAAGGTTGAATATGGTGGCCCTCGTATGGAAGGTAAATAAAAACGTATGGAATGATTGTTGTTCTCTCTCTTTTTGAACGATAGATGATAGGACATTCGCTCTTGACACGCGTACGTGCCCTTCGTTCAAAGAGAGAGAGAGAGTCCATGAGTTTTATCGCGTTCGCTCGGTTTACGCTTCGCCGAGGTTGAGAGAGTTCTGCAAATTAGGCCGTGGCCCACTTTGTGAACGTGCTGCAATAAAGCCGCGCGGCCGCCGCCGAGCTGCTTACAATTAATGCTCAGAGAAGAAGAGAAGAGGATTCAACAAGAGAAACAAACAAAGAGAGAGAGAGAGAGCGAAAAGTGCGACTAGAAAACAGAAATAGGTTGGTTTTTTACTCTCTTTCGATCTATACTATTATAATAGATAATTAATATTTCAATGAACAAAATAATCCAGATAATTATATGATTTTTCTTTGTCTATTGTCTCCTTCGATTATACTTAGTTTCCGAAATCTGTACTCGAATAGTAAAATGATTCACCCGGTATATCTCGAGGAGTGTTCTTACCGTTGGGAACTATTTAAAGAGACGATGAACGTGCATCCTCGTTGAACCGTCGAGAATATGACGCAACGAGCGGACCGTTGCACGAGACTCCTCCTTAAGGCGAATGCACGCGTTTCGAGACTTGTCGAAGTAATCGTAAGGATTCAACTATCAATACAGATCAATCAAACTAAAACATTGCTATTCACATTTATCTATTTATTTATTTCATATTTTGGAGTATTTTATTATAAAAATATGATTATTCATACCCGACCGATCTCTAAATTGAATTGACTAATATAAACTGCGCGTTGTTGACTTCAGACAGGCGGTAAAAAAACGCGCAACCCGAAAAAGGGACAGTAAAAAAGAAGAATATTAGATATGTTTTCGTTTCTTTTTGGTCGAGTAATAATAATATAAGATTTCGGTTTGGTAGCAGAATTTTGATTTGGAAAGTGTATAGTCATCGAAGATAGGGGACGAATGGGAAGATAAGATATGCATCGGACTGATGAATCGACGCCGAAGAATATGAGAGAGGGGAATAATGGACATGCATGGTTTATTGTGCCAACGAATTGGAGCGAACGTTGCGTCATTCACATTATATTTCGAAGGTCTCGACGAACAACACGACACGTCCGTCTTTTATCGCGTTGCAAAGAAACGAATTACGTGGAAATAACGATTATCGATTTGTTTCATTAATTTCGATCATTTTATTTGGAAAGTTCGGAGAAAACAAAATTCTTCCGTTCGAATCGGATTATTGATTTTTCCATATAAATATGTCATCATGAAAATTGGAATGACTTGTTGTATATTTGTAGAAAAAATGGATAAACGACACGCTAAGAAGAAGAGACAATGAAACGCGCATGCATACACGCACAATATAGAGATAAATTATATATAGCCGTAATGGAAACTACTATACCGATGTGTCACGGACACGTGCAAGAAGGCGCGATATCTTAAATTACGTTACTAACTGTAGACGTGTTTTTTTCAACGATCAACGATCTATGATATCGAACAATTGGGATATCCAAGAAAACGGATTTTTAAATGGAACGGAGTGGAAAGAACAAACGTCATTCGTTGCATTGATCGACCCACGCGATTTCCTTCATCGCTGCGTTGTTTATCATGTTTCAGAGTTCATCGTATAGCTTTTAAAATAGAACGATTAAATGCGCGAATAAAAGAAAAATAAGAATAAGTGAAAATAAAAAAATAGCCACAGAAGATACTTATTTACTCACCAATTTTGAAAGATTCTTTCGGATATGATCGCACGTCTAACAGTCGATGATGCACTTTGCCTCTATGAGTCAAACGTTGTGTTGGGTACGAAGGATCCAAAAAACAAAAATATATATATAAAACAATAACAAGAAATAATCTCTTGAAGATTTGTTGTCCGAGATAAGAGGTCCTTGATTACGATTGAAAATGAAGAAACAATCGTGACGACGATGCACGTTTTTAATATGAAAGTTCACGTAACAACGATATACTCCGTAATTTGGATAATCGTAGTCTGAGTCACTGACATAACGTTAAAAAGAAAACCTCAGCGAAGAATCTTCTTGAATCCTTCGATTATTTTCCTTCGATTTCGCACCACAAAAAATCTAACGTTCGATCCGTTTGTCAGAAAAGTAATTAGTCCCACCACTTAATAATGAAATGCCGATAGATATGTATTAATCCTTTTGTTCCAACGCTTAAATAATAATTGAGTCACTTAATATCTTAGTTGTCCCTTACGATTTTCGATAATGACAATATCGATATTAAAAATAAAATAATCACGATACACGATCCGAATCTTCTTGTCTTTCTTCAAACGTGAACTTGAACTCGGCTTTGGATACTCGTCGAGTCGACTGTCCTTTCTACGTGAATGAGTAGATGGTAATACGACTACGATGAGAATTCCTTTTGGAAAGAGAGAAAATATGCGTATAGTTCGCTTAGTGAATCGAAGAAACGTCCAATCGCTTCGCTACCAGACTGCAAACTGAATGCGCGCTGCGTGAGATCGCCGACTTGGGTCTCAATGTCGTCGTCGTCGTCGTCGTCGTCGTAGTCGTCGTCGTAGTCGTCGTCGTAGTCGTCGTCGTAGTCGTCGTCGTAGTCGTCGTTGTCTGTGGCTTCGAGTTCGATTTGAGAAGGCTGACGCTCGGCGGCGCGCTGGGTTACGCGCGCACTCTGTTACCACACTACCACTTTTCACACACACCTAAATACTTATGGATGTATTTCTCCTCACCGCGTAAAACGAGGGGACCATGGCGTTTCTATTCCTCTATACTCCTGCTCTTTTAACTTGGAGTGTGTAGTGTAAATACATGAACGTAACGTAGTACGACGAGGCTCCAAGGAAGGAGGACCACGTTTCATGGTGGGGGAAAGTTTATGCCCGGTTTATGCGCTCTACCTCCTCCACCACTACCACTTTTCTCTATCAATCTATCCTACGTTGGAGAGCTACTCCCACCATCGGCAATACTGCTGCTGCTGCTAACACCCTCGCACGTAAAACCTCTTTTCCCCTCAACCGGTCAAACCTACCAACTACTAGCCACCAAATAGTAGCACATCACGTCGCTTCGTCATCGTTGCATGTAGTTGTAGTTGTAATTGTATTCGTTGCGTTATGTTATATTGCATCGGTTGCAGTCCTGAGTGGGGATAGGTAATGCACAACGCGGCGAACGGGCCACGCGTACAATTAGATTGCATCGCGCAACGACGCCGAACGTTTCGTTCTCTTAACATTTTTTCAATACTCCTTTCTTCTTTCTCTCTACTTTTTTCTTTTCTTTTCTTTTCTTTTCTTTTCTTTTTACATTCTATTGATTTATTATACATTTTCGAATATGTTACGAAGCCAAGGTCGACCGATAATTTCATAATCGATCCTCGGAAAAGAGATACATACGTATAATATGATACCTAGGTGTTCGTTACGAAAAAACAAATCAATCGATTAGTTACATTAGATTTTATGTCGATCGATTACTCGATCGTATTCTTCGAATTTCCTTTCTCTTTCTTTTTTCAACCTTTTTTTAAATATTCGATCTTGCTTTTTTTATTCTTTCTTTCAAAAGGCGAAATGATTTATTTAGAAAAGGTGCAAATGCATGGCAATTGAAATCATTAAACGTTACTACGATCGGTAAAGTAACAGGCTAGATGTTTTCTAATATAATTATAATTATCCTTCTATTATTATTATTTTAAATCTATTGTATTAATTAATTATAAGACTGTACAAAATTGATTATAAACTACCATTATGCAAAAGTGAACTTCTATTAAAAACCGATTATTAGATATTTCAGTCTATAAGACGGTATACATAATTTTGGATAGTTTTAGCGTTAATCGGGGCTCGAATATATCTCGTTGAAAACATTGCTATTTCAAGCGAATGAAAAAGAATGATTTACGTTGATTGCTTTTATAAGGTTACAGTTTAATCGTCGAAATCTCGAAAATTGGTCGGCTGTATGAGAAAACAAAGAGAAGACGAGTTCGAGCGCCACTTGGGCGACGACGAGTTCGTTCGTTGTCCGTCCTGCTCTTTCTCTCTCTTTCTTTTTTTTTCTCCCTCTCGTTGTCTCGTTCTCCTCGCCTCGTCTCTCTCACGGTCCCTCCGTAAACCAAACGCCAGACAACGAGGGCATCAGCCCTCGTGAATCAGCGCCGGTCACCTTCACTTTTTATGCAACTTTGTTAAGCTCCGACCTCGCCCATTCAAACGAAATACATACATACTTACATATATACTTTAAATACTGCTTACATATATATTTATAATTCAATCAATTCATAAAATAACTAGACGTTTTGGAAGAGTATATAAATAGAATAGTATCATACATTTAAACTAGTTGTTTTAGGAAATAACGAGATTATATATGACTTCACAAGAGGCAAATAATTAACGAATGAGATTAAAATTTGATTCGTCTTTAAAGTGTCTTTACATTTCTACATTAATGTTCTGTTAATCATGCTGTTCTATCGGATCTAATCGATGGGTCAAATTTCAATTTTATACTTTAACTACTTGTTTAAATACATTAGTTGAAATATCTAATACTGTCTTCTTTCTTTCCTTTAGCTGATCAGTTTAGTTATCTCATGTAATAGCTAGTTATTTTACGAATTAACGGTAACATGTATAAATGATAGCTGAATGTTTAAAACGTGTTTTGTGTTTTTCATAATTTTTTCTATTAGGATTAATTTAATTGATTCTATTCATTCTCTAATGACACTTAAAGAAAAGAAAAATGAAGAGAGATAGAGAAAGAGAGAGAGAGAGAGAGTTCAGTGATTATTTAATCATTATTGCCTATAGCGATGTTGCGTAAATGTGTGTAGAAAAACAACGATCGATTGAGTGCATACATATGTAAACGTAAATGCAAATGTAGTACATAAGAGATTTTCTAACACAGTCGAGGAAAATATGCTTGATATTGCATTAATTACTCCCTCATGCGAACTCATACTAGCTCGTTGAAAAGAAAAGATAAAAAGAAATGAAAAGAAAAAAAAGAAAGGAAAAGATTAAAAGGAGAGAAGGAGAAGCTATATTTTATGTGTACGATCGATACGAGATACTTTCTTTTTTCTCTCATCATATTTTTATATAAATTAATGATGTATGCATTTATACGTACATACGCATTAACGTGATAGAATTTCATTGCCTTCAATTTTAATCTCATTTCGAGTAATTATTTTCCGGTGATACGTATTGAGTTGTTTACGCGAGTCTCGTTACAATTATTAACTGTTTTACTGGTAACGACCTTTTATATCGAACGATTACAACTATGTTCAATTTTATACTACGTAATATTTTTCCAAAAATCTTTGTAGAAGTATTTCATACATGTTATTATATGCACATGGTATTATTTTAAACTTTTAGATTTAGATCAGTATTTTTCTTTGGTTGCATCATGCGAATAAAATGTTATAAGACAGAGTTGAATCGTTCGTAAAAGGGGGAGATACAATTATATAAGAAATGTTTTTTTTTTATTCTCTTTTTATGAAGTTCATTTTGTTAATACATCAAACCTATGGATTATAAAATAAAGTTTTTCCATTTTTTGGCTTGATCACATATTGAGGCTCTTTGCATTCATAGTAATGCATGCATAGTAAAATGACTAGCAATGACTGATTGCCGGCTTTGACGGTAACATATACACATTAATATATCGTTTGATCATATGGCACCTGGTCTTTTTAACAGCATATAATATTCATTGGGTACGATTAATAGAAAGAGAGACAGAAAGAAAGTGAAAGAAAATGAACAATTTAGAACTACCTCGAGTGACATTATCGTGATAATAATTTCCGACGGCCGAGTCTCTTTACAGACGCGTTTTGGCAATTTCATTTGCATAGATCGTATACATACGTCGCGTTTACGGTGGGCCGATTTGGAATTTCAAGGACGCGCACTTGGAGACGTGCACTGCGTTGCTATATCTTTAGTACGTCTCTTTTCTCTTTATTGTGTTCACTCCCGCATTCGGTGCAGTTTCCTCCGCAGGGTGTGCCCGTCGCATGGTTCTGTGTCTTCAGACGAATATTCTTTACACCAAAGACAAACGGTTAAAGGACCTTACTTGCCATTCTTAATCAATTCGATTCACGATGCTTTGTTCTTTTATCGTTATGATTATTATTATCGCAATCATTATGTGTTTCTCGTCTCTCCGAAATATACTCTCTCTCTCTCTCATTCTCTCTCCGGTACACGTTTTTGATTTGTTGACTATCATAGAGGGTCAAAGTCAGGCCGGTATTTAATTTATGCCAATATTATTTTAAATGTCTTTCTAAACGTTTCTTTTTAGATGACTACGAGATTCGCGTGATCAAAGCCGTTGGTCAAAGATACAATTTATTAACAATGTGAATATCTTAAACACTTGAGTGATACGTATTAATATATTCACATATTTTTTATTAGTGCAAATATACTCATAATTGAAAATACCTTAAGATGAAAAGATATAGAAAAAATGTATATAATAAAACCTATATACAATAAAATATAGAAATAAGTAGAATAAAATTACAAAAATGTTCTATTCTATTCTATATACGTTCGATTATTAGTTCCCATCAGATCACTACAGTCAAGTAACGTAGACACGATTAGTAGAATGGATGAGTGACCCGTTTGAAAAAACAAAACCTGCAAGTTTGTTGACTCCAGAGAACAAGCCCTATCAAACAAGTGGTTGCATACTTTGGTACATTTAACAAATATTTCTTTTACATTTTATTTTTTTCATAATTTATAATATAATTAAATGTGAGGTTCTATTGGATGTATCTATATGTAGTTATTTACAATATCAGAAAGGAACTCGTTATCGGGCCTTAA